CCCCAAAACCCCAAAACCCCAAAACCCCAAAACCCCAAAACCCCGTCTGTATGAGTTCAAGTGATTTTAATGAATTCGGTAAACAAGAAATACAAAGTAGAATATTGTTTAAATAGAGCAAGAAAGTTTCTATATATCTTAATTTCAAGCTAGTCTGCATTCGCCTCCGAGTTCCTTTAGTTTTGCTGCTAATTTTTCTGCTTCCTCTTTAGAAACTTCCTTTTTTAGCCATACTGGAGCACCCTCGACCATTTCCTTAGCTTCCTTAAGACCTAAGTTTAGCAGAGCTCTGACTTCCTTAATGAGTGTAATTTTCTTTGCTGGATCGAATTTGGAAAGCTCAATATCATAATGAGATTTTTCCTTTGGCTCTTCTTTCTTTTCTGGAGCTGCTTCCTTCTTTGCAGCAGGAGCTTCTGAAGCAGCACCACCGCCACCTACTGCTCCAAATCCCATTTAACTCATAGCTGGTCCAAGTTGAGCTAGCATTTCTTATTGCTTAAACCAGTTGGGGTTAGCAGGAGGCCATGATCCAGTTTCTATATGATTAAGCTAATTATTATATTAAGTTTACCATCTGGCTTGAGGGAGGGCCAGTCTAAATTGAGTTTCATTGGGTTGACGCCGGATGTTCTTTATATTCTTTATTTTAATGCTTCACTGAAATATCTCAGCTCAAAAATATTAAAGTCAAGTAATTTATCTGTGAGTACCTCAACCTTTCTCTTTTATAAATCAGATAACCCATCAGCTACATAGGCATTTTATCTATAATAATTATTTAAGTATTCTGGTTCGAATCAGTAAAATGTTCCCAAATGCAAAAATAATATAGATAAACGATACTTACTCAGCAGTAATTTTGGCAGAGATTTTTTTCCACTCCTTCTCGAATTTGAACATATCATCTTGATACTTCTCTCCCCATTCTTCTTTACCCTTAGCTAATTAATCTGCAGTTGGCTCTTATGCAGAGAAGTATCTGACACTGAGATCATTCATAAGAGTAGTCTATTTTTATAGAACCTGAATGTTGCTAGCAAGTAATTGGTAGCTTTATTGAGCAAGAACTCTTTATTTCTTTAGCATTCCTACTATCATATTTGATGATTAATTTTAACCTTTAATAATTATAATAATTAATTAAATTCACATATAATATTCATGACTTGCCCTTTTATAGGAATTGTGATTTTAAGCTACATTATTTTAGTTTAAAGCAACATTTTAGTTACTGGCATTTTTTCCTTGTGATCGAACCTTATATCTATTTTCTGAATTCTTGCCATCATTGCTATGATCATAGTTATTGAAATCTTTTCTCTCTTAGAAAGCTATGTTCTTCAGGCTATTATCATACTGATTGGCTTGATAGGGGTATGGTGGCTATTACTGAGTCATCATTGAGTCAGAATATTCTCGAGGAGTTATAATGATTTAGCTGCTTTCAGTAGACTAGTTATCTAAATTTCTATTTTAGTAGTTTCTATTCGCAGTATTTTAACTTAATAAGATACCTTGATTCTAACCCTGAATGATGTGAGTGAATTAACTTATCCCTGCACAAGCTTGCTTCAATTACATAGCTGTGTCACTAAGAGCTTTTAAAGTTTCCTCTATGTTTATTACTGGTGATTGCATTTGTAGTTATCTTTAATATCCACTTATTTATGATTATGTTAAATTTTCATTCAGTTATGATTATGAAGCACTCGGTGTTTGTAGTCTCATATCACTATGATTTTGTTTTTTGCTTATATTTGAGTAATTTAGCAAATAAGAAGATGAATTGCCTAGTATTCTTTAATCATTAGTCATATTTTCATCATCATTTTCTTTAGCATTTTTAAAGTTACTATCTAAACATTTGTTAGTTGGCAAATAACTAAAAGCTTGCTTTTGATACGAGTAGAATGATGAATTCTCTTGAGCAGAGGGCGACACTTCTTAATGTTGTTTTACTTGCAGATTTAATTGTTAAGGTGTTTTCTATAGTTCCTTTTTATATGATAAGTTCTCCTTATTTTCTGCCTCTATTTAAGAAGAGTGAAGAGAACTTTTATTGGATTTATTAAGCACAATCTTTTCATAGATTTCATCGATGAATTCGATCTGCTTTCTTTGTTTTTCAGGTAAATTTCTTAATTACTCATTTTGCTTTTTCGTTTTATTAGCATCAGGTCTTGGTTAACTGAATGGTTTACTATGTTTACTATTTTATGAATCACATTGCTTATACTACTGCTATTATGAAGTGAACTTTGAGGGCTTATGTTTTGGATCTTAAAGTGGACTCTTATTGCTAATTGTAATATTTCTCTCAGTTTGAATAGTTTGTGAATTGCTACTATCATCGTAGTAATGAGTAATATTTGAATATTAAAGTTCAGGAGGCTTTTTCTAGGAAATTGTACTTGGCATTTGACTTTAATATGATTGAGTCTGTGTACTTTTCTTTTGTTTATATTCCTGGAATCTATCTCTTAAGAATTGTAGATTTGAGTAGAGTTTGCTGCCTCCACTAGCTTCAGATTCTCTAGGTGACTGTTCACTGGTTACGAATAAACTAATATTCTTGAGAAATTCTATAAATTCTGCATCTTCATAGAAAGATTTCAAACTCTAATTTGTATGACAACTGCTATTATTGCTACTGACGATATCAGGTTTATTGGATTAGGAGAAGGTTCTTGAATGATTGTTTGAGATATGAGAACGATCATTTAGTGTTTAGCTTTTATTGAAGTCCTCTTCTTCTTAATATTCTTAAAGATATGGTGGTATTTAGATTTTCCTCGATTGACTAAATGTACTCATAGTGCCACTCATCTAGTTCAAGACAATAGAGTTTTGATCCTTGTGTCTAGAGCTATTGATATATGACTTAGATGAATTTCTGTTGTTTCTTTGGACGGATTGCAGGATATTTGCGGAGTTATTGTATTTATTTGAACTATTATGAACATCAATAGATTTTCTCTTATTTTTTTAAGTTGAATTTTATGAAATCGCTATTCTTGTAGAAGAATTTGAAGGTTTTCTTTTTCCAATACTTGAGTTTCTTTAAGTTGGAAGCTAAGAGGGATTGGCTTACTCTATGATTACTCTAGAACTAGGAGCAAAACTTGTTCTATTATTCTTATTGGTAATGCTTCCCATTCCACTAGGGTACCAATTGCTACCCGCATTTATTTAAGTATTTCTTTGCACTCCGCATGCTTTAGTCTTATACATAGATGCAGACTTCACTAAATTGTCTAGTCTTGCCCTAATAGAACACAAAGGTTAGAGTGAAAGTGACTTACTTTATTTGTGGATCATCTCTACGAAGGTTTGTCTTGCTACTGCGAGTGGCACTTGTAATGGTTGTTGAAGATTTATCAAACGAGGCTGACCTGCTTTTATTATGATCTTGCAAACGGCGATCGTAGAACATTTAAATCAAACAGTCACTTATTATTATTATTTTTATTTTTATTTCAGAGTTTAATTTATCAAGTTCAGAATTTTAAGTAGAAATGGCTGATAACAAAGAAGATTACGAGAACTAGTCCTTCGAGGCTGCTGAAAACAACGACGAAATGGATAAAACACCAGGTCAAGGGCAAAATAATGAATAGGATGAATAGTATTACTAAGATTAACAAGATGGTCAACCTACTATTCAAGATTATCTGTAATTCTACATTAATCTTGACTTCAATTAAACTTTGAATCTAGAATATAATTGAATTAAAGCAGATAGGGCTACGCTTACCAAGATGATTATATAGGTATTTTACCAGAATTAAAATTTATCACTCTTTAGGAGCTGAGTAATTATTGGGACAAATATCAGACATTAAGTATGATGCTGAAAAACGTATCAAACAAGCCTTATTTTAAAAACAGGAAAGAGAGGTAATATTCTATCAAACATTTCATATTAATGGAAATGTCGTTGATTATCAATAAAATCTAACTTTATTACAGAAATCTGATTTGGAGAAGCAGCACACAGATGAATTCGAGAACTTCACAATGTCATGGGATCAAGAGATCAGGAATATCTAAGAGACCTCTGCCATTCTAATTGAGTAAATGAGACAGAAACACGCTCGAGAAATAGAGGAGCTGAGAATGTATCTAGAGTAATCAATCTCACTTAACTTCAAGCCATCTCCTGAATTGTTAAACTTAAGGAAGGTACAATAGACTCTTTCTAAATAGAAAAAGTAAGTTATTCCTATAAAATTAATTTGACTATAGTTATACTGAGGCTAAAAAGGTCTAAAATGTAGTCAAAGAACTTGAAGATAAGGAAAATGAAAAATATTTAGCATAGAGAGAGGAGAAGATTAGAACTTAACTGGCTCATATGGAACACAAACACTCTCTTGAAAGAGAAGCACTTAGGAAGAAGATTGACACTTAACTCAAGGAGAAGGATAAGATTAGGAAAGTATAACAGCAAGAACTGCTTCAAAGATTCCTAAATGGCAAAAATGAATAAAGTTTGATGTAGAAATTAGAGACCAGTAAACTTAACAATTCACTTAAGATCAAGGGCTATGCCAGCACTATAGTAGGAAAGCATGATGGTTCATTCAAAACAGTGTCCCCTCAAACACTTAAGAATTGAGTAGTTAGAGCATCAATCTCATTATATAATTTCAGGCAGGAAAAAACTATCTATTTTATGAAACTGAAGAAGTTTATTTTATATTAATAAATCACATTTCTATTATGAAATATGATTGAATTTTATCTAGAGGGGTTTTGGGGTTTTGGGGTTTTGGGG